ACAAAGCTGCAAGCAACCACTATTAGAGTTGGAAGTTACTGGAAGAGAAAAGATGAAGTTTATAAAGCAAGATGACAATTAACAGACAACTTAAAAGATTGAGGTAAAAATATGCAAAAAATATTTATAACAAATAGATATAGAATTTTTGGAGCACTTGGGAACAGTCCCAGTAACAGGCTGTCAAGCAACAACTTTACAAAAAAATGGCAAAAAATGACAGTATTTTGAAAAGGAAAATGGCAAAAAATGACAAAAAAGGACAAATTTCATTAAAAAAATGAAAATCTCAATAACTATTTTTAAAAACAAATTAAATCAGAAGTCATCAAAAATGTCAAAAGTAATATAAAATAAATTAACAGAATAGAGAAAACACTTAATAACTTATAATTAAAATTAAACTATAATTAAACAAGAAGTTCACAGCCAATATTTTTAACAATACTACTTTGATTTTTTGAAACAATTAAATAAACTCTCCATTTCACTTTTTCATTTTAAACCAATAATTACTTTTAACTCTTTTTGCTCATTTTTATGTGCTGCAGAATTTTCAAGATTTTTTTTTTGCACTGTTCACCATTTCATGGACAATTTTTATACCTATCATGTCTTCTTCATTGATGGCATTTTGCATAGATTTGGTCGCTTCATCCAGCATTCTCTGAGCAAGTTGAAACTTTAGATCTGCATTTTCTTGTCATTTTCAAGATTTTTTTCCCTTTGATTTAGGTTTTAATTATTTTTTTTTTGATTTTTTTTTCAAGCATTTTTTTTTTTTTTTTTTTGTAAATAAGTTTTTGCTTATAAATATAATTTATTCTTTTTTCTTCTTCTTCCTCAGCTTTTTTTTTTAAATATATATTCTGTAAGCATTTTGCATTGCTTGAACAACGTCTTTAGAGAAAGAATCAACATTATATGCTCCAATGCAACTTCTTGCAAATTCCTTTGATATTCTCAAAGCCTTTAATGTTTTATCATTTAGTTTTACTTGCTCTGAAGTCAATGTATTTTTATTATCTGATAAACTTTGCTCTGCACTAGTGTTTCCATTCTGAATAGTTAAACAACTCTTAACAACTTTACTGAGATATAGATACTTAGTTTTACCATATTCCTTATCAAGCAAACAAGCCAAATCTTTTAATACCTGCAAATCAAGTGGAAGTTTATTTTGTATTTTAAAATTGATATATATCTATCTCTCATTTGTGGTGAGCAGAAAATTCTTTTTTTTCACATGAAATTTTTTTCACCTAAAAATTACATATTTACTTTTGATCAGTCAACTCAACATCAGTCAGAAATAATAAGTAACTTTTTTGGTTTTTTAAAAAAGCTTAAAACACTCAATAACTAATCCAACAAAAATTAGTTTGTATTTTCTCTTAAATAAAATGTGTAACAAAATGATAAAAAGCAAAGTACTTAGCTTCCTCATAAAATCCATTTTATTTAAATCAAGGTGGATAGTTGAATCAGAAGAATCAATTTTTAAAAGATATTTGAAAAGTTTACCATTAAAAGGTTTAAAAAAATCCATCATCAATGATATTAAAAGATCTTTCATTTAATAAAAAAATATATGAATAAGTGGTTCTTTATCTTGGAATATGGTCAAGTATTTTTCAAACAAGGGAGGTATACCAATAAAAATTTGATGGACACAATATGTTTTATATTTTCATTTTTCTTAAGAACTCTCTGAATTCTAACACAACGCTAATCTTTTGAAGTCTTTTATTTTGCAGGGTGCATTATACAAGAATGAAAAACACATTTCAAATCTGAGCATTAAGAATAACTTTTACTAACAACTTTAAATTAGTTAATAATGAGTGAAAAATAATTTCATTTTTAATAATACTAACAATAAAATTACCAATAAAATTCATACCTTACACCAAGCATGTAAATCAAATGCAAGCTGCTACGTGTTCTCACCAAAAACTATAATTGCTTTTCAAAATGCATTAGGCACTGTGTACAAAGTACAACTTACAAATGGTAATAATCCATTAAAACCATCGCTATGAAAATCAGCATTTAAAAACTTCCAAATGGCCTGGTTAACTTTAGGACCATCAGCTGAAATATTAAAAAGTCGATCCCATGGTAAATCAAATCTTCCATTATGATGTATATCTGTAAGCATTTTTTTTGACACCTTCTGCTGTTGCTCTGCCAAAGAACAGCAATGTTAAATATTTTGTAACAACATAGTTCTCTTCTTCTGATTAACAACATCTTTTTTTTTTTTTTACTGTGATGTAATCAACTTATTGGTATACTGGAACACAGGCGTTTCTCCGACAAAGGTCCAACGCCATCTTGAAATACATATGAAGTCTTTTGTCTACTCATAATAAAACTTTGACTTATACTATCTGGAAATATTCTTTGAAATAATAATGAATTGTTATCACAATGTTTTAAAGTAAGATCATTTTCAGCTCCTTTAAACAGCTACAGTCTCTGCAGCTGAAATTTTATTATTTATAGAATACTCTAATTGTACTACTTTCTCTCCCCCAATAAAATTTTTACTTAAACCTACATATAAATGACAAGTTCCAAGGGTTGCTGTAAATGAAAATTTACAGCAACCCTTGGAATTAGGAAAAAAGAGGTTGGCAATAACATGCTGACCTTAAAAAGATTGAGGTCGGCATCAGGTCAGCAAAAATTATTTGATACAAAGGTCTGACCATAAAACATAGAAATGAGGTCAGCAACTTTTTGCCAACCTCAAACACTTTCAAGTCAAAAGTTAGGTTGCCGAATGTTGACCCTAATTCCGAGGGTTGTTACAGACTGCATAACAGAGTTTTTATCTCAGCCCATAGTTTAATTTTAAATTGATTTTTGTCAAGCTTTTCCAGTCAAACCTCATTCCATTTAACCATTATGGCTTTGACCTATTTATTGATTAATATAGACCTAATGATTAATATACTTAAAATTAAAAATAGATACTAGTAACTTCACAAATACTGAAGATTTTATTTAAAATATAGTTCTCAATTTTATTTAAAATATAGTTCTCAATTCAGTTTATCAATCAATAAAAGTAATAAAAACAATTTATCAATTCAAAAAATTACAATATTTAAAAAAAACATAAAAAAAAAGATTATGTTAGAATATTTATTGTAAAACTTATCTAAATTATCAAAAATAACTCAAATTACAAAAAGTAAACTTAAAATAAAAATAAATAATGAGTAACACAAGAATGAATTTTAGTAGATGGCGCCAGGGACGCTAGCTTGTTAGAGCAGTGCCCATTATAGAATTAATAGAAAACATTTATTTCTTTAATAATAAATTTCTATTTTTGAAAAAAAATCCTTATATATAATATATTAATTTTTTTTTTTTTTTTGAAAAACTAAGAATCTATTCTTCTTTTTCATGTTGTTTTGTGCAGATTATTATTATTAGGTCAATTGGGCAAAGCTTGACTTTGTTCTCAATGTCAAATTTAACATACAGATAACGGAACAAAGCAATTTTGTAGCTTATTTTAAAATTACATTTGCTTTAGCTATATAAATTATTATATAGTTAAATTTTAACCCTTTGTAAATTTTTTAATTAGAATTTTAATTTTAAATTAAAAAAAATCTTTTACGGGTTAGCACATTTCATTTTGGCGCCCAATAGTTTACTGGATTAAATAGTTTGATAGCAACTTTTTTAACTATGACTCTCTGAGAGCGTTAGGTAAGTAACATACTCTTGTGTGCTTAATACATGTGAGAGAATACGTTTATTAAGTATAAAATTTGCAAATCTTTGCAAATTTTATACTTAAATTTAAATTCTTTCTATAAATAGAAAGAATTTAAATTTAAGTATAAAATTTGAAAAGATTAAACCAGTAACCACGGAATGCTGCATATTTTTACCTGATGCATTAGCATTAAATTTATAGTTGTAAAAAAAAAATTTAGATCTTTTAACTCTCCAAGTTTTGCAGTGAGTCTCATGGTTTAAATATGATACTCACAATCTCACAGTTGATTTAAAATACTCCAGTTTAATTTTAAAAACCTATTTATACTTAGAATGGATTTTTCTATTTTGCGTTGTTTGCTGTAGTTATTTCAGGTCAATGTCAAATTCAACAAACAGATAACAGAACCAAGCAAGTTTATAACTAGTTTTACAAATAATTATTAAATGTAGATACCTTTGGTTTGATTGATATTAAAGAATTATATATTTAAAATATATACTGGCACTGAAATATGAATTTTTTCCCCTTCTTTATCAAACAATTACTTAAATCAAATTCCATTACTTAACATTCAAAAACTTTGGCATTCAACAAACATCATTTTGATAAAAAAATTTAGTTTAACTTAATGTGACGATGATTCTGTTTTAGCTTTTAAAAGTTATATTTATTAATTTTATTGTTCCTTGAGGTAAAAAAACTACATTGAAATCACAGGTTTTTTCTGATCATTGCAAAAAAAGCAATCACAAATCAAAAATTATAGCATTAAAAAATTAAACTTAAAACTTTTTTTTTTAGCTTTTTTAAACTAAACTAAACTTTTTAAACTTTTATTAACTAAACTAAAAAAAAACTTCAACTAAACTTTTTTAACTTTTTTTAAACTAAAAAAAAAGCACTTTTAGATTTTATTTTTTTTCAGGTTTTTGTTGAAACCACAAGTTTTTCATATTAAATCTCAAAGTTTTTTTAAAAAAAAAATGAAGATCTAAAACTTGTTATTGCTTATAATACATTATAACATAAAATGCTTATAAAAAAAAAATTGAGAATGGTTGAACAGTCAATGCTTTGATTATAAATCTATGCTCAAACCCTGAAATTGTTTTAAAAAACAGGGGCACTTTGTCTACTTTTCAATTATTATATTGAAATGTGTTACTATAACTTAATGTAAACAAATATCACAAAGGTGTTTAAATTTTTTCCCTAGAATACCATTAAACATGAAATTTAATGATTGACATACCTTGTGATATTTTGAGCAATAATGGAACCACATGTCATTGTTTTAGCACCGTGAGATGGGCGAAAGATATGCTTCTCCTTATTCTCAATTGGCTTTTTTACATTGTATAAGTCATCAGAATGAGAAGGGTATGCAGTAAAGCATCCAGCTTTAGAACCACCAATCTAAAATTTATATTGTAAATTATAACACAAATAAAGCATAACATCATAACTTGACAATCTTTTAAAGAAAGTTTTGTAGTAAATATATATAATATAGTCATCAGTAGCATAAATAATACAATACTGTCGCAATACATATATATGCATATTTATACTTTTTATTTTTTAATACTTACAAAGTTTATACAAACTAAATTTTTAACTTAACTTCAGGACCTTAAATAAAGCGAATTATCTCTATCTTTATCTTTATCCTTATCTCTATCTTTTCACTTGATTTTACTTTATCAATATTTAGTTTTGTTATAACCAATTAGTAAAGATACAAGTAGATTATCTTATAGCAATTAAATATTTATAAAGATTCAGCCATGTGTAAGAATATTGTTCATAGCGGATTTTTTAATTCAACCAAAATATCACATTAAAATAAATCTTAGTTTACTGTATGTACCACCTTATGTTTTTTTTCCTCACTGTAGTAACTCGTTAGTTTTTGTTTTTTTTTAATGTTAAGTAATCAGTAAAAGTTAAAAAAAAGATGAAAACTTTAATAAATCTGCCATCCTAAAAAATGTTTAACCAGATCTGGTCCTTGCTAGCCTGCACTTTGCTACACCACAAAAATTAAATCTTGCAAATTTTTTGCTTTAACTATTGTGAAAACTAGATAAAGTTTAACAAAAATTTTTGAAAAATTTATCTTTAAATTTAATTGAAATTCTATAAGTACTTTCAGCACATTTTTAAATATTAAAAACATGTTGAGTTATGGTCAAATCGTCAAAACAATTTATTATTTGCGTTGTCATATAATGGCATACGATAGATTGTCATCCTGTTCAAGCCTGGTGTATCCATGTCCAAGCCTGGTGTATCCCATTTTGATGTTTCAGATAGGACACTTTCATGCATTGTACAAATTCAAAACTTAAAAATGTAACCTTGCAAAAAATCTTTTTTTTTTTTAATTTTTTACTTTAAAAAAAGGTTCTATTTTTAACAAAACATTTTATTTTTAACAAAAGATTCTATCTTTAAAAAAAGATTCTATTTAACAAAAGAAAAAAAAAAAAAAAATTGGCATTTTTTTCTAACCAACCGAAGTATTGAGATGAAATTAAGAATACATCTATTTCAATAAATGAGTCAAAACAACCAGTCAATAACTTAATTTTTTGAGTCAGATGAAATCAGTGTGTGCAAAAATCAAGACAAAAAATTGAAGATCAAAATTTATCTTTGCAAATGTCAAAACACAATTGGATGATATGAAAATAATAAATAAGACGTTCCATCCTCCAAAAGATTATATTTTTCCGAAAAAGTGGAGATAACGTTCATGTCAACCTCACTGGTTTAAAAAGTTTTCATGGCTTCATTATAATGAAAAGTAATTTTTGAACAAAGGCTAGGAGATGCCAACTCCGACTTAAAACACCCCCTGCCTTGGGGCTTTTTGTTGAGTAAAGGCTAGAGATCGCGTCTCAAAAAAAATTTTGGGCAAATGTTAAATGAATCTGGCTACTGTCTTGTAGAAGGCCTCCTAGGCAAAGACTTAAGGGGTAAACAGATTCTAACTAATGACCAGCCTTGTACCCCTTCTTCATCTATTAGGCTGGCGCAGATGTGTTTAATACATTATTTCCAGTTTAGGATGTTGAATGCTGGATCTACTCTATGCATTAGATTTGCTTGTGTCTCTGTTTTTATGGCTAGGCAACTCATTCTATTATCTCCTAATGAGGGTGCAGCTTAAAGAGTAAGCTTTATGGTTCTGAGGTCGGCTGGTAGTCAGGTTTCCCAGACTCTATGGTAGCTCTCAAAGAGGCTGATTCCATCAACAGCGGAAAAATATCAAAGTATTAACAGTGCCATGTTGCGCATGGATGGTGTCCTTGTTGGTACTTTTGGTGTGCATTGCCAAGGCCACATTCGGAACCCTTTGTTACAGCTTAGGGTTTATTAATAGTACTGAGGCAATTGTTTGGGCTATTAAACAGTGTACTGACTACTTTCTATGCTTTGAGTCAAGTTCTTTAATAAATTTGAAAATGAATACAGTACAAAAAACTATAAAACACAAAAAACCATTGCCATCACCAAGTTCTCTAAACCACTAATATTTCACTAATATTCACTATTCACTAATATTCATGGTCTTTGAAGAAACTTTTCTTCTGTTGAGTCTTATCTCTTGCAAAGCTCACCAGACCTTTTTGCTCATTGTGAGACTAATTTAAGTTCAGCTGTCTCATCTTGTGATCTCAGTGTTGATGGTTATTTTCCTTTAATTTGCAAAGACTGCAATAGTCACATGCTTGGCCGGGGCATTTATATTCGTAAGAATTCACCCATTTGTTGGGAAACTAGGTTTGAATCCACAGACTATACTTTTATGTGCTTTCGTTTAGCACCACTTAACTCAATCATCTTTCTCTTTGTTCTATATTGCTCTCCTTCATCTCAAGACTGCGCTCTTCTTGATGTTATTTCTGATCATTTTGACCAAGCCCTCTCTCTTTATCCATCAGCCAATATTGTTGTTGTTGGTAACTTTAATGCTCATCCCACTGAATGGCTTTAAAGCTCTAGTGTCAGTGACTCTGCAGGCATTAAAGCCCACAACTTTTGCCTTTCTCAATCCCTAACTCAAATAGTCAACTTTCCAACTGGCTTTCCAGACAACCTAAATCATTTACCTTCTCTACTCGACTAATGTCTTGTTTCTGATCCTAGTCAGTGCTTAGTTTCTCCACATTCCCCCTTAGGTGCTTCTGATCACAGTTTGATTTCTCTAAAACTATTATCTCATTCTTCCTCATCATCTGAATCCCCCTATCATCATACCTCTTATAACTACCTTAAAGCTGACTAGGACTCTTTCCGTGATTTTCTTAGTGATGGCCCTGGCATAGAAATCCTTCGTCTTCCTGTTGACAAATATGGTTCTTACATAACTACATGCATTCAGGCTGGCATGGAATCTTTTATTCCCTCTCAATGGTTCCAGGTCAAACCTCACTCTTCTCCATAGTTTTCCTCAAATTGTTCTGCTACAATTGCCAAATAAAATGATTACTTCCATATCTATCAGCAAAACAATTCTCCAGAAAACAGACGTCTGTTTATTACTGCTAAAAACCATTGTAAATTTGTTTTGTTTACCAAAGCATCTGGGGCAGATCTTCTAATGATCTCCTTTCTCTTTTAGATAAGCTGCAAAAACACATTGTAAACATAGATCACTCTTGCAGCCAACCTTCAACCATTATCACATCGTTGTAATGTTGCTTCTCTTTCTCTTTTCTACAAATACTATAATGGGCACTGCTCTAAAGAGCAAGTGTCTCTTGTGCCATCTAGTAAAATTCATTCTTGTGTTACTTGTCATTTAATTAAGTCTCATCTTTTTTCTGTGACTGTTCTTAAGTGCTCCAAAAACTCTTATTCCTCTAATTTTTTTCCTTAAACATTAGTTCTTTGAAATTTGCTTTCAGCATCTTGCTTTCCTGATTTATATAATTTGCAATCTTTTAAGTTGTCTGTCAATCTTTATCTTGCTCTACAATCTTCATCTTTTCTCTTCCAGTAACTTCCAACTTTCCAACGGTTGCTTGCAGCCTTGTTGGAAGCAAAGATGTTTAAAAAAAAAATTGAATTACTAATAAAAGATTGTGCGATTCTTCATGATGTTATGGGAACCATGGGGGAAATATGCGTACTAGTTAAATATTCACCAAAACAAGAAAAGATGTTGGGAAGCATTATGGAGAATATTGAAAGAGAATTTAAGGAATCTCCATGTTCCTATAACCAAAATCTTGATAAACTTTATGTAACAAGGTGAACCATGAAAGCAAAGTGTTTTAAAAAGATACTGGATAGCCATGCGACCTTGATAGAGTTATGGGAGCAATCCTTAGCAGATTTTGATAAAAGATCAAGAATTGGGGGCTGTAAAAATCAAATGAACACAATCCATTTTTATTTAATCTAAATTTAAGCCATTGTCTTTATGCAATTACGGACCTCTCCAAAGCCTTACAGAATGAAAAGATGTCTCCCCTTGAAGGAAAAGAGCTAGAAAAGAACCTTGAAGGAAAAGAGCAAAAGAAAGCTCGCTGATTTAGTTGTACAAACATTGGGAAATATGAGAAATGAACGTGATTTCAGCTTAATTTACAAAAATATAAAGTCGTCAGCAAGCAAAATAAAAACTATTTCATCACCTTGTCTTCCAAGAAAGCAAAGAAAACCTAGCTAGTCTTTATTACATTATGTCACAAGAAACCCAGAGGCAACAGTAACAGCACATTATCCTGAAAATCTGTACAAACCTGTCTACTATAAAGCTCTTGATTCTATTATTAATGCCATCAAAAAGAGACTTTATCAATCAACCTTGCAACTGTTTTTCAAAAGCAGAGCAGTTATTTTTGAAACCAGCAAGCAAACAGTTTTTAACAGATGATTTGAAAAAATTGGAGCATTTTAAAGGTGACTTTGATGCATTAGTTTCAGATTTTTCCAACAATTTTCAAAAGTGAAACCAACAACTTGGAAGAAGTGAATATTGTGCTAAAGTTGATGTCACGAGAAAAATAAATGTTGTTGCGCTACATCTTGTAATCATCAATTCCTTACCTATTCTTTTTGATAACAAATCTATTCTTGATGAAATATCACTAATTAAAGTAGCAAATGAATTCACCAAGATCAAAAAAAAACCTTTTGATATTTTTACGACAAACGATCTTTAGGTTCAAAGATCTCTTTGCATATATTTCGTTCACAATCTTAGTTTTTGTTTTTTTTTCATCTTAAAGACATTTCTTCCAGAAAATAAATGGTATGCCATTGTTTTTATTGTTTTCTGTTAAATCAGGTATTAAAACAATGTTCTATGCTAAAAATCAGCACCGCAATCCCTGAAGATACCTTTAATAATATAATCAATAAGGTGCACTGTTTTAGATGCAACTCTACTAAGACGATTAATTAATTAGAGCATGAGAAAGATTCCTAAGATTGTTTCATAATTCTCGATTTACAAGTAACAAATTTAAGTAAATTTCACCATATATTTTTTATTTTTTGTTTAAGAAAAGACCACTCTCCAATCCTTTGTAATAACATTAACTAAACTATTCAAGACAACATCTCAAAAAACAAAGCAACAAAAATTGAGCTACATCGGCATTTTGTAATTAAACTTGCTCCAGTAAAATTTTGATTAAGGTCAAAATTACAGGTGTTATGTTTATTTTCAAATATTTTAAAATGTTTTATTGGATTCCTTGCCTCAAAATATGTAAGTGTACACATTTTCAGCCTTCCATTGCACACAGAACACAAACAAAGGCCAAAACTATTTTTTAAAATGGTGGATTTTTGTTGGTTCAAGGCAAAATTTGAATAGTCATTTCTTTGAAACCATTTGGAATTGGATGATAAAATTTTGGGAATGTTTATAACTTGTTAAAATCTATGATTGGTGTAAAAATCAGCAAAATCTTGCATGCCATGATTGTTTTCACATGAAATTGCCCTTATAGGAAAATCTATAAAAATAAAAAAAATATATATATGATTATAAAAATGAATATGTGATATAAGGATATGTGATATAATGACTGTGATGAATGATATGAAATGAAATGTGATGTAAGGATATGTGATATAATAACATAAAAAGCTATATGACTATAAAAATAAAATAAAACTTTACCTTTGATTGTTTTTTATTTAAACTATTTAAACCAAATTTGTTTCTTTTTTTGAACAAAAGATTATTAATGCAAGATTCTAAATATTATGTGCTCTACAGTTGTTTGATTATTTTGGTTTTGATATTCTTTAAGAAGCAGATAAATATTTGCTATTTACTAACTAAAAGTTAAGTAATTTTTGAAAAATGGGTTTAAAATTTCATACAGAAATGATTGTCATACAAAACTGAAATTTCAGTTTTCAGAATGAGTCACAAGAAATTCATCTTTCCTTTGATTTTCAAACTCATTGTTTACTTGATGTTAATAAAGAAAAAAACAACTTATAAAAATATTGTAGAAAAAAGATGCAATTATTTTACAAAAAATTTTTTTTGTAAAATAATTGCATTTCTGTATCTAAGCTATACAAAATACCATTGTTTTCTAATACTTAAAATAATGCAACTACTTTTTTTCAGTACCAATAATATGGTATTAGACCAGTTTTATCAAAAAACAAAAGATAAAAACAAATCGCTCTTGCATATCCAAAAGGTTATTTTATCTAGTTTCAGAAACTAAAATTGAGTTTCTTTTCTAAACCTATCTTTAACAAATTTTCTAAAACTGAAACAATTTTAGTGAGAGACTTAAAAACATTTATATACCACTAACTCCTTTGTGACATCCACTTACTCATTGTTTAACTGAACAAATTAGACAACAACTCAACTTATTTCTGTAAAACAAACTTGAATTTAAAATAAAATTCTAAAAATTAACCATTCTGTGTAAAAGGTTGTTTAGCATTATATATTTTTACAAAAAGTTATATGGAAACATAGGGTATGTTAATACTCAAAGAATATCCAATAGAAAAATTTACATTAAGTAGGTATGCTATATTAATGTGAATCACTCAAAATATTTAAAGATATCTCACATATTTTATGTCTAAAAAGTATATTTCTAAAATGTTTTAGATTACCTGTTTGCCAGGTGAGCTTGGTTTGAAGGGAACTAATGTTATCTTTGGTTCAGAAATTTCTTTGAAAGGTGGCAATGATGCTAAATAAGAAATTATGTAACTGCAATTCAATACTTTATTAGCAATCTTAAAATGAATAAGGATCAGTAGCTAACCATTTTGTTAGTTATCATACAAATACTTTCATTTTATTGAACTAACGATAGCTGGCAAGAGAGTTATACTAGTTATTATAATGCTATAAAACAACTAACATTTTGATATATGAATTAGGCAATTTGAGCTCTTTGAACCAATAAGTTTATATGATCACTTTAAAATTATTAACCAATATGATTTCTTTCAAATTATTTGCCAATATTTTCTCTTTAACAACATCAGTTTTATCAGTCATTATTTTCTTTTATTATTATATCAGCATGAGCAAGTTTTTTCTTTAATGAATTTAGTCACAAAAAGGCTGCAACCAACCAATAATTTAAGAGTCAACATAAAACCAATAAGAGAGTTAAAAAGTAAAAAAACTGTTAACAGAAGACAAAACTGTAAATTATGAGTCAGAAAAACTTAAGGATAGAAGAGAATCCAAAAGCACTAACATACAGAGAAAAAACTAAATAAATATGAGTTTTTTGGACATTAAGGAACAGTTACAGTAAAAGAATGCAACTTAGCTAAATGATTAAAAGCTAATTCTCACTTGACTTTTCAGATTGAACCTTATTTGATGTAACAAATAATGATAAATGGCTTGAGAAGCGATGTGGTAATATTTGTAGAAAAGTGAGAGTTTCATTCTTAGGATGATGGAACCAAGACTCAACCTTAGTTTTAAGGGGGTCATTAGAAAACGCAGCCCAAATATCATATCAGTACTTTAAACAAAGACAAATATTTGACTTATTACAAAAATGGTAAGCACAATAAAGAAAAACAAAATATAACAACCATAATAACTTTAAAATGGGTTGTATATATGGTTTCCATGAAAGGTTAATAGTGAATGATAATCTAAAAAAATTTTAAGAAAGTTCGAGAGTTATTGTGTAGAAAAGATAAAAGAAATAAGTATAATTAGAAAACAGCTTCAATAAAAGGAAAAAACAATGAGGTGAGGCAAGACTTAAAACCAACAAGATGGAATACAAGTCTCTGGTCTGGCAGAGTCAAGAATATTATAAAAAAAGCACAACTTTCAGCAGACAAATAAAAAATTCCAGTCAGCCTTAGGGAGTAAGAGGTGTGATGGTAAGATCATATGGTAGTTGTGTAGTGGTAGAACACTTGCTTCATAAATGAGAAGTTCCAAGTTTAATCCTCACAATGTCACTAATAGTACCATGCCCAGCTTGTTTCTCTGTGCAGTGGCCTTGTTTGTCAAGGTTCGTGTTTCAGAGTTATAGAGTTGAGAGGGGGTTGTAACCAGTGCTCAAAGTAAGGCGTGATGCGGTGGGATGCTATCTCATCACCTTTTTATAATGTATAAACCATCCTGCTACCATTTTATAAACCTCTATATATAACAATGATTAGGCGGGATGGTATTTTTAATTTATCAAATACCATCCCATTACTTTTTTTTCTTCACTTCGAGCACTGGTTGTAACAACAATTCCTTGATTGTAATGGTTTCTTGGTCTTTAGGAGATGAATAACATAAAAAAAAGAGAAACTGATGAGGAAGAAGTATGAGACTTAGGGAAATAATAGAACAATCTAAATCACCTAATGGAGAACAAGCATAAACTGAGCACAAACTAGAGTCAGAGTGAAAAAAGTAAGTAATTGGTATTATTTAGAAAATGAGTAAAATATTATCTAAGTATGGGATTGAGAAAGACAAAATGTTGAGCTTTAGCGCAAGCAAGATCAGTGGTACTAAAACCAAACCATTCAGTGTGATTATCATTAAAGTCACTAATAACAACAATATTGGCTGAGGCAATATTGGCTTGATAAAGAAAAAAGGCTCAATCAATTTGATCAGAAACAAGATTAAAAAGAGCGCATTCTTTAGATGATAGAGAATAGAAAGAACAGAAAGCAAGATGATTGAGTGAAGAGGTACAAAACAAAAGCTCAAAAAATATTAGCTGAAAGATTCAAGTCTGATTTCACGACAAATAGGTGAATTGACATATAAGCATATGTTTAATACTATTGAAGTATTTGTGAACCTATGGATAACAACCATAAAAACCATAAACAGAAGACTTTAAAAGTTGCAGGTTAAATGAGTCAGAAAAATACTAGATGAGAGGGAGTTCTGAAGGGTTGAAGTACAGGGTAAAAAATTAGACAAATAAAAGTTACTGGAAATGAAGTGTTTAGGCCTTTGAGGATGAATTAAATACTGTTATTAGAAAAAATTATTTGATAACCTCAAAAAGTTTTCCAGATACACCACATGAAGCACGCTTATGGAGACCAGCATGTCAAACTTTATTGAAAGTTTTAGATATGTCAAAAGCAATAAACCTTGTCCTGCTGCCTCCATCTTATGCATGATAGAATCTTTCAGTCATAGCAACTAGTAGGTCAGCGGTAGAACGAGAAGATCAAAAACCATATTGGTTGTCAGAAAGTTATTTGACTCAAAGTGGGATGTTAGACATTTGTTAATCAAAGACTCAAAGACCTTGCTAATAATAGAGAGAAGACTGATCAGACATTTATTAGAGGGGTTAGAATGTTCTCCAGAGTTTTTAAAAAAATAGAACCACGGATGTGATTTTCCAGCGGAAAGGAAAAACAAGATTCAGTCAAGCACTTATAAACAATAGTTTAGAGAGAGTTCTGAAAAACACTTTTGTAAGACTATGACAGGAATATTGTCTAAACCACAAGCCCTAGATGAGTTTGTTAAGAGTTTGTTAAGATTTAATGAATTTAGCAACAGAAGCTGCAGTGATTTGAATGTTTAAAATGGGTTAACATGTTAAACTGGAATGGCAGGAATAGATACTACAAAGAAGATACATATATTAGTGCTTTTTAATGTTATCTTTTCATTTGCATTAAACAGAATTATGCAAACACAAAAATATATAAATTAGCAATAACAAAAAGACTTACGATTATCAGCTTTATTTGGATTAGAATCAAAAAACGTTACAGGATGTAAATTTGATTTAAAAGGACTTCCCATCATCATTTTTTTACTTTTTAATTCCTCTTTCTAAACAGTTTTAAAAATTATATTAAAATTAATATTTAAGTAAAAAGCAATTAAAAACTTTAATATTCTGTAGCTATAGCTTAAAAGCTAAACAAGCACACAAGCAAAATCATTGATTTTAATACTTAATGATTTTACTATCATACTGTAAAATAATGATTGCAGCATTAAAAATTTCAAATCAAAAAAAGGGTAATTGATGAACTAGAGAAAAAGTTTTTGGCAACTAGTTCTGTCTTATCCTTTGTAGAGGTTATAAAATCAGACCAATGAATAAGACATGCAACTTTAATTTTGCTTTTGTTAATGGCACTGTTTAAAATTTTCCAAAAGTCTTATGAAGCAAACTTCTGAGAAACAATAGAAAATGAGTAATCTGAGAATAATAGTTCTTAGCTTCATACAATACATTTTTACATCGATTTCTTAGCTTCATACAATACATTTTTACATCGATTTCTTAGCTTCATACAATACATTTTTACATCGATTTCTTAGCTTCATACAATACATTTTTACATCGATTTCTTAGCTTCATACAATACATTTTTACATCGATTTCTTAGCTTCATACAATACATTTTTACATCGATTTCTTAGCTTCATACAATACATTTTTACATCGATTTCTTAGCTTCATACAATACATTTTTACATCGATTTCTTAGCTTCATACAATACATTTTTACATCGATTTCTTAGCTTCATACAATACATTTTTACATCGATTTCTTAGCTTCATACAATACATTTTTACATCGATTTCTTAGCTTCATACAATACATTTTTACATCGATTTCTTAGCTTCATACAATACATTTTTACATCGATTTCTTAGCTTCATACAATACATTTTTACATTGATTTCTTAGCTTCATACAATACATTTTTACATTGATTTCTTAGCTTCATACAATACATTTTTACATCGATTTCTTAGCTTCATACAATACATTTTTACATCGATTTCTTAGCTTCATACAATACATTTTTACATTGATTTCTTAGCTTCATACAATACATTTTTACATCGATTTCTTAGCTTCATACAATACATTTTTACATCGATTTCTTAGCTTCATACAATACATTTTTACATCGATTTCTTAGCTTCATACAATACATTTTTACATCGATTTCTTGCAACAATAAAAAGAGTATTAAACTTAAGAGAGTTGTTCTTATGAAAAAGATAATTAAAAAAAAAAGTTACTATTAGAAACAGCATCAAGAACTTTTCAAATTTTGGATATGGGGGAGCGCGTGCAATATTTTTTTTATGTATTAGGATATTAGAAAATATGTGAATATTTTTTTTCTCCTTAAAAAGTTTATCTAGAAGGGGCACAGGGCGTTCGAAAAATTAAAGCTTTACTAAAAATTCATCAAAATGGCTCTTTTCTGCCTTTTTTTAAAAGGGTTATGGGAATGCAATTATCAAAAAACAGTTAGACATAATATAGACATTAAAATAAAACACAACTTCTGGTGCTACTTTACTTAAGGCCATACAAACATGGTAGACATAGGAAAAGTTGTCTACCATTATGAATTTTACAAAAAAATATATTTAAATAAGTATTAGAAATGGTAGTGTGCATAATAATTTAACTATTGGAAATTGGAAGAAATGTTTGAAAAGTTTGTCTTGTGAGGGCTCAAAGCGTTTAAAAAATGTCAGTTTTACTAATAACTCTATAAAAATTGGTACAATAACCTTATTATCGTTATTTTACAATGTACATTATGCAACTAATATAAAAAGAGGTGAATCATAAAACATGGTCATCAAAATTTGTGGGTTTGGGGCTTATATCCCCCACTCCATTATTTTAAAAACCATAAAAATTGGTTAATAACAGGAAATAGTGTATGATATTTTGTGTTATAAAGTTGGATAATTACTTAGATAATAGTTTCCCAAAAGAATTGCATTTTAAATGTGTTCTTTTTATTTATGATCAACTTGTCTTCTTGAATATTGTAACAAAAAAGTAAAGCTATTCTATGAAATGATAAAATTAACAAATTTATAATATATATATATATATATATATATATATATATATATATATATATATATATATATATATATATATATATATATATATATATATATATATATATACATATATATATATGTATATGTACATATATATATAATATATGTATATATATATATATATATATATATATATATATATATATATATATATATATATATATTTTACTCTATCATACATAAAATTGCATGAGATAATCGATAAAGGACTCCTATGCTGAGAGATAGTTTACAATATGGAATTTTATTGTGTGAAAGATCAGTTATACATTTGAGTACAAGATGTTTGTGTATATTATCAATTACAGTAATTAATAAACAAATATAATTTGTTTATACAAGATGTATGTGTATATTATCAATTACAATAATTTCTACAATCCTGATGGTCTCAAAGTAAAGTAGACTGAAGGGCCTAACCATATACTTAAGTAGTTAAAACTTCTTTGTCATCAAAGACTTAGAGTTAAAAACTTTATAATGCACTATATTTTATAATCTTCATGGAATACTCATAGTGAAAATGTTCTTCAAGCATTGTTATGTAGTCTATGAAAAATAGTAAGACTATTTGCAGTTAAAACAATTTTAAAATTAAGGAGGTTATGGATACATAAACACTTTTGTAAGAAGTAGAAACATCATATACATAGTGAAAATGCTAATTCATTTTTTGATCTAATTAATTGCAGTTTGGATGTATACAAACCATTACTTACATATTTATTGTCAAAGGATGAACTTTGATAATTTTCAAAAAATATATTGATACTCCAATGCATGTACCTTATTTTTCTGTTCATAGGCAAGCAATTGAAAGATGTAAAAATCAGTATTTGGAAAAGTTAGTAGAGGTTCATCAGAGCAACAATAGCACATTGAGAAATCATGCCTGTGAACCAATCAAAAAAGTTAAATTTAAATTAATTCAAGAAATATAATCTTTTTTTATACTCTTTTTTTTATACTTTTTTTATACTTTTACTTTTTTTTAGTTTTTTGCTTTTGTTTTAGTTTTTTTCTTGCTTTTTTATAGTTTTTTCTTGCTTTATTTTAGTTTTCTTTTGCTTTAGTATATTATTTATGATCGTAGTAAAATAATTTTAAATACATAGTATCTCATTGATGACATTTTTTCAAGACCAATAAATTTGTAAGCCAAGAAAGTTTGTGAATTATTGTAGGAACTATATTTTTATATTTTTTTAGCCCATAGGCTTAAAAAGAAGGCAAAAAGGTGTCAATTTGATAAGTTTTCATTAAAACTTACCTTTATTAAATACTCTGTGCTTCCACTAGATCAACTTTTTGAGAAAAAAAAGTTATTCATGTCTCTTCTAATATCCTCATAAATGAAAAAATATTGCGCGCACTCCCATATCCAAATTTATTATCTTCCCTATAGATCAACTTGACTAAAATTAAAAAAAGTGCATTCTTAAGAGGTAGGTAAAAATTTGAAAAAAGAGAAAGATTTATTGAGTTAAGAGGTGCTAAACAAAATACAAGGTAATTCCATGTAAAAGACCTAAAATGCCATACTCTTTTTCATACCCACTTTAATGGACTTTCTAGTGGTACTTCTTAATGAATATTTTCAGTTTTAATAAACTAATTTCAAAAATTAGTTTAAAAAAAAAATTAGAGGAAACCCAGTTGGAAAAAATTGGAGGAAACCCAGTTTAAAATTTCGATTTTAAAATGATCAGTCAAATTTTTTATTTCATCAACATTAGGGTGTATCAAAAAAAAAAAAAAAAAATACTTCTCAATGTTTTCCCATTCTTTAAGAGCCAAATAAGCTAGAAAAAGCAAAAAAACTATTTTTGCTCTTGTAAAAGTGATAGCTGTAAAATTTCATTTTTCAAAAAAAAAGCAATTTTTACAAAAAAACTATGTATTTTAGTAACTCTCTTAAAAACATATATTTTAACTTTGAGTTTGAGTTGCTTCTTTGTTAGTTTTTTTTTTAGTTTTTTTCTGCTGTCTCTGGCAACAAGTATGAGGTTCTGTTTTATGTCATCCGACCAGTGGCCTCCAACAAAATCCTGGATTAGTTGGATATTTCTTTCTGCGCAGTCATTAACACTTTCAATTGATTTCAAAAACCTTTTAAATAGATGAAATGTTTCACTGGCATCTCCCTTGAGCCACTTCTCTGCCTCTCCAAAAAGGAGAAAAGAAATACCTGCTACCATAAACAAGATCCAACTCTGGGAACCTACCAGCTCAAATAGCTCAGTTGACCTGTTGATAACTTGCAGCTTTGGTTTCCCCATGTGAAACTGCTTGGGTATATCACACTTGACTAACTTTTCCAACATCTTTTTCTTTACCTTCTTGTCAAAATCATTGTCAGCTAGGACCAGTATAACTAACTGTTTGGTTAAGTACCGAGTTTGCCGCAGCATGCTGACAAGAAGAATCTGCCCAAGTTTTAAATAGTAGTCCCTTATTTCAAACAATGACTTATGCGGTAGTGGTGTAGTGGTAGAGCGCTCGCTTCATAAACGAGTGGTTCGGAGTTCGATCCTCACCATGTCCCTGGTAGTACCACGCTCAACTCGTTTCTCCGCGCAGCGGCCTTGTTTATCAAGGTTCGTGTTTCGGAGTTATAGAGTTGAGAGAGGGTTATAGCCACAAATAAGTAGCCTCCTCGTCTGTAGTGGCCTTCTCGGCCTTGAGGAGGTGAATTAAAATAAAAAAAAATAAAAAATAAAAAAATGACTTGAAGGCAGTTAGGTCATTTGAAGGGGACTTGTCAACCAAATATGATTTTGAGAACTAGGGTCCATAGCATATAGAAACAAAGAATGTTGCAGTCTTTACCATCTTCTTCTCTTCCTCATTCATCACCTGGGCTCCCTTCTCAGTCATCCTCAGTGTCAGCAGGTATAGAGCATCTTTCATGAACCTTTAAAATAAATTACTATTATCAGTTATATAGAAAAACATTAAAAATGTACTGTCTTCTAACAATACAAATTATTGATAATATATTTTAACCATACCTGGCTTCGTGGCAGGCTCCAGGTTGATAAAAACAAAACCCAAGTACATCTCCTAAATAGAATACAACTAGTTCGCAGAGCTTCTTGTAGTCGACTCTTTTAAATGTCTTTGTGGTCAGTATCTTTTTAAAAAATTCTAAGGCCCTCCTTGCTATGTTGTACAAGGATGATCCAACCTGTAGCTCATTCCAATCAAACCTAATTAGCTCCTCCATCTTGTCCTCCTTGATGCTTGGTCAGGCTTTCTGAAGTCTTAAACATTGTGCTCTCCTGGGCCCTTTTGTTTTTTCACCAGTAAGAGCCTCTATGAAATGGAAGATGTGTATCTCAAACATGTGTTGTCTGCAGAGAAACCAGAGAAATTTAATGTTGAGGATGTTTGTGAGGATGGTAATGGCTCCAGCAAATACTCCAGTGTTGGAAGCAGTAGTGTCACAGCATATGGCGAAGATCTGATCAACAATGTTGTAATATTCTAGTAGATTTAAGATGATATCTGCCTGATCAACTCCCTTGGAACTTTGAGCTTGAACTACTCCAAGGAGGATGTCATTTGTGTCGTCAATATCTGGTGATGTAACACTAACAGAAATTCTTTCAACAGTAACAGTAATATTTAGATTCTCCTCCATCTCTTTTATTTTTTTGCTATCAAAGTGCAGGACAAGTCTCTTTCTCTTCAATGTTTCCATTATATTTTGCCTTATCTGGTCTCCTAATATTCAAAATAGCTTTATTACCAATTTAAATAAATTTTTATTAATCCTATTATTATTTCAATTAGTTATTTTTACCTAGATCTTCAATCATCTTGAATCTCTTTTGATGAACAAAGCTTTTGGAGATAGGCACATTCTTGAGATTCATGCCTGCTTTATTGCACATTGCTGCAATGATCGCGGTTTGAGATCTAACCCTATACCAAGCAGATACCATAGAAATACAATCCACTAGATCCTCAGGACTAATATTTATCATTATCTAAATATTAAATAGAAGTGATACTTCTAATCTAGTTGAATGCAGTTAAATTTAGTTTACTCAAATTTTATACAAAAAACTTTAGATTTTATAATAATCTTTTATTTACCTTGGCTTTTACTGTAGAAAAAATTTGAAGTAATTCATCGACATTATCTTTATCTGTGAAATTTACAGCATCTGACTCAAATGCAGATGAGTCGATATGAGAATCATTTGAAACCTCATTAGTAACCCTTTTCTTTCTATCTTTCTCACTGTTGTAATCTTCATATTCTTCATTTCCTGCTAACGCTCCTATCTATTTTTAATGGATGCTGCAAATTCTTTGTCTATTTCTGTAGTTATATACATTTTTCGATCCTTTTTCTGGTCTAAAAAAACTGATTGTCTTCTGCCTTGGCATCTTGGGTACAAAGGCGATCTGATTGGATTTTTTCCTCAAACCTCGCTACAGATATGTCAAAGAGTTTGGTGCTCTCCTGAATGAACTCGCCCTGGATTTTAGTAAATCTACCAGTTCTGGAATCCTAGTTTAGTTCTCTCAAATGGATTAGCTCGCAATACTAAGTATGGAGTTTCAAAATCTTATCCCTTAATGAATAATTATATAAAGTTTCATAGTTACCTAGGTATTGTTACTTTTTATAAATTATATTATTAATGTTAATGTTTTGTTGATTTACTTATGTTTTATTTATATTAAATTTAAAATTACATTATTTTTTACCTGACAGCAGATTGAGAAGAGATAAACTTTCCGAAACCAGCTTTGTTCCACACATCCATTACAAGAGCAGTAACACATCTGTGGTTGGGATTTCTACATAATCCACCCTTGCAGATAAGATCTTTGCCTGGAAATGTTTGAGAGCAAGCTACAATTGGCTTATTTGATTTAAATTTCAAAGACCTTGGAGATTTGATACACTGTATGCATCTAAGAACATTTCCAGTGCTGGGAAGCTGGTTTATAGGTAACTGGTTGATAGGATACTTGAGAAGAAACAGTAGCCTTCTTGGATTGGTCTGTATCTTTCTCTTTTCTCCTTTATTTGTATATTTTGTGCGAGAACAGCTCATATTACAAAATACTATGAAATCTTAAATTAAATAACATACATGAGTAAATTTAATCACCTTAAAAATCTAAAAAACATCTAACCAAAACCGAATAATTAAATTTTTCTTTTTAGTTTTTTTCTATTAGTACATGTACTAATGGAATTGTGCTCAAAAACATGGTACTTAGAGTAAGGTTGAACAATAGTAAAAAACGTAACATGCCAAGTAGCCGATGGTCAATTAAAAAGATAAATTTAATTATTCGGTTTTGGATTATTGTTTTTTAACTATCTACAAGACTATCATACATTGATTGTTCTTTCCTTTGTTGGTATTTGAGGATTTTTATTTTAAAAATGTGACGTGTATTCTTGTATACAGGAATTCTTAAAAGTATCTTTTGACTTTCTTACAAAAAAACATGTTTTTGTAAGCTTAGTTATATTTTTAAATCTGCTTATTCAACATTTTGAATAAGCATGTTTTAAAAATATCCTTATAAAAATAAATATCAGACTAATAATAATTTTATTTAACCAAGGCATGGTTATTAACTTTATTAAAAATAAAATAAAAGATAAAAATAAATTTCTCTACATATTAATTCAACATTGATATAATGGACATTTATTTTCGAAAAAATCAATTTTTTTTGAATTTTACAGCTATCACTTCCTGGCAATGAATTTTTTTTTTCTTTTTATTTTTAGCTTCAGTGGACTTCAAAGAATGGGAAAACGTTGAGAGGTATCCTGGATGAGAAAAGGGGGGGGGGGGATCGTTTTTGGTATACCCTAATCAACATTGGTTGCGCTTTCACTAACTCCTAGAGTTGCCAAAAACTGATTCACTTTTTTTTTAATAAAAAAAGGATCTTTAGCAATTATAATAAAAATACGATTTTAGTCTCTTAAAGCATAATGAAGATATGTCCTTTATTTAGACAAAAAATTCCTTATTTGGACTCACATTTTCTATTACAGACTTTTTAGCAACACTTTTTGTGTAAATAGTTTAAATTCTAGTGGAAGAAACTGAATGAATATTGGTACCTCATCAATTTTTTTTTGTTCAGTAGATCTGCACTTTTTATATCATATCATCAAAAAAATATTGGTGCTTTACAAATTCTATTATAGTATTACAAAGTGCTCAATCCAAAGATGAAAAGAAAATATTCCAATCTAAAATATTTGATAGTTATTTTTTTATTTTTAAATGGTATACCATAAAAGATGTATCGCATTCACTAATTCCTGGAGTTGCCTGATTCATGGGTTCAGTTTTGATATATAAAAATAGTTTTTTAAGATTGGTTGTGATGTCTAAATATAGTTTTTCGAGATCAATTGTAATGTAAAAATATTGTTTTGTGACATCACCTGTGATGTATAAATATAGTTTTGTAAGGTCAATTATGATGCAAAAATATAGTTTTTGAACACAAGTTATGATGTATAAAGCATGAAAACTGCAAAAATATTGCAAAAAAGCATAAATATCAGATTAAATAACTATTGAGTCTTATTAGGTAATTCATTTTCTTAGTCACGGTAAACAGCCAACAATGATCCATTGAAACCAACCTAAAAAATGAATATCATCTCACAATATGCTCGATATTGAATCTTTTGAATATATTCCTGAATATGATAGAGAAATAATAATGTGGAGGACTGGGCTATCAATAATCAATATCAAATCAACAACTTGTCTCCATCATAAACATATTTATTTAAAGCATTATGTAAATAATTAACACGTTGCTGCAATCCATTTATTGTTTATTGCAATCCATGATATTGCTATATCCATTTATTGCAATCCATGATATTGTTTAAAAAAGTATTTAGAGTAAAAGTATTTTTACTTCCTAAATTTGCAAAGTAAAAGCTTTGAGAATTGCAATAATGAAATTCTCAACAGATTTACATTTTTTAATCTTGACAGATTAACATTTTTATATATATAAAAAAGAACTCTTCTATTTTTTTCAGACAGTCCTTGTGAAATCAACTTGGATACAGTAAAATCTCTTTCCTTTTAAAATCCAAAAGTATCTTAATAGTAAATATATCAAAGTCAACTAAATAAAACAAGTAACAAATAAATAGTCAAACATGCAATTTTTACTTTTTCATTATGTTTATTTTGAATTGTGAATAACTTAACTGTCATAATTTATAAAACTTACAACTCGAATTTCATGCTCATGATTGTAGGGATCTGGTGCATACTTTTGTGGCTTACCAATTAATACATTAGCATAACCATATCCAGATCCCTTCTTCCCAGGGTTTGTTACAAAATTTCTTCCAGGTGTTACATAAGGATCCTTATCCTTACATAAAGGGCTAAATGTTTGAATTGGACCTGATAATGTTCCAAAATAACTACCAACTCCAGAACTGAATAATAGAAAGTAAATATATTTTAAAAAAACTAAAAGAAATTTTATTTTAATAATCTTTTGCATAAAAACTTACGGTTTTTTTCCAGCATGACTTGGTATAAATGCTTTTCCTATAATCAGTTTATTTTTTTCCAGTCTCTCTTGTCTCCGACGCTTAACAGGATCAGTGTAAGCTTCTCCCTCCATTATACGATTGAATTGTTTATCAAAGTAACCTACTTGCAATGCACAGATAGTTTTATTACTACCTGGCAACATTTGCTTCCCTTTTGATGCCGAAACATTGAATGACTCTAACAGTAAAAAAAAACTGTAAGTATTTTTTTTAGTAAAATTTAATGAACTTTTATGATTTCAACTATATATATTATATATTTCAAAAATAATTTTTTATAACTTTTAAGAAAATTATGCAAAAATATTTAAAAGCTCAGAAAATTATGCAAAAGTATTGGAAAATCAGCCAAGAGTCAAATAATAGTTTTTGACTTCTTTTTAAAGTTTACCAGAATCTAAACTCTATAACCATAACAATTAACACTAAAAACCATTTTATCCACTAGGAACACTATAAACCATTTTACCCGTACTTATTAAATTTCTGTACTACATACTATTGAGTTTTTGTATAACTCTTTATTACTTATAAATAATACTTATTTACACTATATGTTTTTTGTATTGGATAAATTTATTAGATATAATATCTATTTTTACTTTCAATTTTTTAATCTTGATGCATAAAAAAAACTCTGAAAACAAAAATTGCCAGATTATTACGCCCTTTAAAAACCATTTAAAAAATGGCTCAGAACATTTAAGTATTTTCTTAATAAACTCCATTAAGACAAATTTAACAAACTAAGAATCCTAAAAAATAATTATTGTCTACGATGTTTGAGACAATATCTAAATGCACTAACTATAAATCTGCAAATATTAGAATATGTTAATCTAAAACTTAGGGGTATATAGATTTATCATAGATAACGCATATTTTTGGGTAGTTTAAGTTAAATCTATATTTTATATTACCTTCCTGAACTCTGTAGTAGCTTTTAGAGAGGCTGATTCCATCAACAGCTGAAAAGTACCAGGGTACTAATTATTGTGCATGGATGGTGTCCCTGTTCCTACTTTTGGTTTTATTTAAGGTTTATTAATAGTATATTTGGTTTTACTTAGGGTTTAATAATAGTAATGAGGCAATTGTTTAGACTATTAAATAGTGTACTGATAACTATCTGTGCTTTGAGTCAAGTTCTTTAACAAATTTAAAAATGAATACAGTACCAAAAACTATAAAACACAAAAAACCATTGTCATCACCAAGTTCTCTAAATCTATCATTCACTAATATTCGTGGTCTTCGAAGTAACTTTTCTTCTGTTAAGTCTTAACTCTTGCAAAGTTCACCAGACCTACTTGCTCTTTGTAAGACTAATTTGAGTTCAGCTGTCTCATCTTGGGATCTTAGAGTTAATGGTTATCTTCCTTTAATTCATTAAGACTCCAATATGCTTGACCTAAGCATTAACATCCATAAGAATTCACCCATTGGTCAGGAAACTAGGTTTAAATACTAGTTTTCCGACAATCCTAGACTATTCTTTTATGTTTTCGTTTAGCACCAATTCACTCAATCACCTTTCTCTTTGTTCTAAAATGCTCCCTTTTTCTCAAGATGCCATTTCTCTTTTTCATTTCTGTTCCTTTAATTGACCAAGCCTTTTCTCTTTATCCTTCAGCCAATATCATTGTTGTTGTTAATGCTCATCACACTAAATGGTTTGACTCTAGGGTCAGTGATTCTGCAGGAGTTAAGACAGTGACTCTGCAGGAGTTAAGACCCACAACTTTTGCCTTTCTTAACCTCAAACATAAAGTCAACTTTCCAACTCGCTTTCCAGACAATCCAAATCATTTACCTTCTTCACTTAACTTATGTTTTGTTTCTGATCCTAATAAGAGCTCAGTTTCTCCACATTCACCCTTAGGTGCTTTTGATCACAATTTGATCTCTCTAAAATTTTTATCTCATTCTTCTTCATCATCAGAATCCTCTAATAGTTGTACCTTTTACAACTACCTTATAGCTGACTGGGACTCTTGGGTAGAAATCTTTTGTCTTCCTTTTGACAAATCTGCTTTAAATTAACTCCTTGGATTGAGGCTGGCATGGAATCTTTTATTCGCTCTTGATGATTCCAAATCAAACTTCACTCTTTTTCATGGTTTTCCTCTCATTGTGCTGCTACAATTTCCAATCCTAACCAATGCTCTTATTTCAATCAGCAAAACATTTCTCAAGAAAACAGACCTTTGTTTACTATTGCCTGAAAACATTGTAGAAAGGTTTTATCTAATGTTAAAGCCCACTATTCTCAAGTTACAAAATCTCATATTTTACCTAAAAATTAGGCTCTGGTGACTTCTGGAGAATTATAAACAGTATCTATATTAAAGGCAAATCTGTTATTCCACCTCTGTTGCATGGTTCAGATTTTGTTACCTAACCTAAAGAGAAAGCCTAATTGTTCGCTAAGAATTTTCATCTCTTTTTATCTCTTGATTCTACTAATTACATCCTACCTGACATAGCAGACAAACAGATTGATCCATGATATTCGTATCACTCCAGTTTCTGTATCTAAAGTGATTTCAAGATTTGACTTTTCTGCAGCGTCGGTGACAACATACTTGTGTCCGGACAACATACCTGTTTGTTTTGCAGAAGTATTCTCTAAAACTGTTCTCTATAATTTTAAAACTATATAATAAGTGCTTATCAGAGTCTTGTTTTCCAGCCTGCTGAAAAGCGGCATCTGTTATCCTTAATTTCAAAAATTCTGAAAAGCCATCTGGCTTGTCTAATTACTATCCCATTAGTCTTCTTACTAACATAAGCAAGGTTTTTGAGTCTTTAATTAACAAACAATTAATCTTGAATCTTGAATCTAATAACATTCTGATCATTAATATGGATTACAATTTTCTTATTCTAATGCTGATTTATAAACTGTTATAAACAGTAATAACTGATAGATTTTATCATGCATTAGATAGATGTGAAAAGGTTAATTCAAAAGCTTTAGAAATGTTGAGAGCTATTGCTCTCAACATTTCTAAAGCCTTTGGTATAGTTTGGCATGCTGGTCTTCCTTATAAGCTTCATCTTACGGTGTATCAGGTAACATCTTCAAAATTATTGAACCTTTCCTTACCAATCATAGTATAAAAGTTGTCTTCAATAGACAGCACTCTTCTTTATTTCTGGTAACTTCAGGGATTCCTCAAATTTCTACCCTTGGTCCTATACATTTTTTAAATTTACATTAAGAATCTTTTTTTTTTTTAAACAGCTTTACTTCCTACAAGGCTCTAAGCAACCACAATAAGAGTTGGAAGTTAATGGAAGAGAAAAGATGAAATTAATAGATAATCGCAAGACAATGATTGACAGACAACTTAAAAGATTTCAAATTATATGAATCAGAAAAGCAAGGTGAAGGAAAAGAGCTAATCTTTGAAGGAAAAAAACCAGATGAATAAGAATTTTTGGAGCACTTAGAAACAGTCACAGTAAAAGGATGAGATTTTTATATTCCAGATTCTATTCTTTAGAGATGCAATCTTAGCAGATGCTAATTTTGCAATGAACTTGATATATGTTTTGTAAGTTATGTAAAATGTAGTTTATAATACTAATTGTAATTGTATTTTCAAAAATTTGGGAAAGCTAAAAACACATCATTTGAAAAATTGTTAAATGATGTGTTTTTATCTTAAAAGATAAAGACACATTTAAAAAATACAAAACTTTATCAACTAAAGGGTTATTCCATTTGAAATCACCTAGTTTTTCAAAAGTACCCCAGGGTACCAATTCAAATTTACTTCAAATTTTGACCAACCACAGCTTTTGTGAAAAAAACACAATCCTGAAAATATCAGCTTGATTGACCAAACCAATCAAAAGTTATAATTGAATAATTGAAAGTTATAATAGACCAAAATTGGCAAAATTTGAGAATCTGAAGCTTAGAGTAAATTTTTTTGATTTTTAATTGATTATAACTTTTTTAATAAAATAGATGATCACCTGAAACTTTTTACAGTAATAGTTTTTTACCCAAATTATCTATTTTTGCAAGTGTTTTTGACTGATTTTAAACAATTTTTGAGTTCTTGTACCTCAAAGTTGTTAAATAACGCAATACTAGAAAAAAATTTGGAAACTTTAATGTGTTGTAATTCAATAGCAACAGACAAGCTGTGCCAATTTTTTGTTACTTTTGTGTACTTAGAGTAACCACTTGTGGTAAAAATTAAAATTATGTGTTAAAAGTTATTTTAGCACTTGCAGCAACCTGTTAAAATAACACTTTTAAAAAAAAAAAAAATGATAAATTACATTCACTTTGTAGGCTTAGACAGTTGATATAAATTATGAAATTTTTGACTGGAAAGGTTCTATATATAGACAACCGCCAAAAAAATATCAAGACCTATACCCTATCTTAAAACTGATTGTAGCCCTATGATTTAGGTGTATATTTTTAATTTTTCTGTGAATAAATATTATAATTTTTCTTAATTTATTTGATATGATTTTATAATATGTATTTGTTTAACTTTATGCTTATAATATAATTATAATGATATAATTTTCACATGGTTATAATTTGAGTGTAAAATACTTCAATTGCTTCAAGATTTTGTATTAAAATCTAAATATTTTCTGGATTTTATTATTTTAGTTTTTAATATTGTAGGAACCAAAAACTAAAAGGTTTTGTGCATGCACAAATAGTTATATGTAGAAATAGTTTATTAATTGCATTTTAGACAGTTTTAATCACATTTGTACTTGAGATTTCATTTTTACTAATTTTATTACTAGAAAAGTTTTACTAATATTATTACTAATTTTATTACTAGAAAATTTTTATTTTAGATTATAATATTACACATTTAACCCTCAATTTTAATTTTTTTAGATTAGTAAAAAATGTCAAAGAAATGTTTTGGCGGGAAAAGATTTAAATGAAGGTTGTGATAAAATGTCATATTGTAGAATGGTAGGAAAAGTAAGACTAAAAGATACTGATATTGAAGTTTTAATTCAAAGGATAGGATACACTTATAAAACAAATGAGGAGATATGTTTTCACCATGAAAAAGCCTATATTTTTAGAGATGAAGCACTTTAAATAAACTGTTGTGATCCATTTAAAGTCCACAAGAAAAAAATTATCAAAGGATTGTGTAAAGTCAACATATTAATAGCAAA